ATGCATCCGAGAGAACGATGCCATTTTGGTATTTTCGTTTTTCACTTGCTTCCCTTCGAGTCACGCCTACGTCTATCTAGATCTCGATTCGTGATCCTTCTCATTTTTTCCTATCTTCCGTTCGTCTCTACTCTCCGCTTATCGAAAGACGTGGATGCTAGCAATCCACGCGTGCAACGATAAAATTTAACGAGCTCCCTCTACCGAGATATGATATGATTTTCAGATGAAATAATTTTTTAGAGACGAGCTGTTTTTTAAATATAGTATGAAATTTAAAAATTCAACAATACTATATATAGTTTAAATATTTCGATACTGCTTGGTGATATTCTTGGTGATATTCGAATTTTATTGAGATATAAGTATATAAAGATACTCTCGATCTGGAAATGATTATTCGTAAAAAGAAAAAAGATCCTTGACTAATTGCATTCGATTGTTTGATGGAAAATCTTTGAACATAATTCAACAATATTATATATATATTTTAATAGTTTAAATATTTCGATACTGCTTGGTGATATTCTTGGTGATATTTGAATTTTATTGAGATATAAGTATATAAAGATATTCTCGATCTGGAAATGATTATTCGTAAAAAAAAAAAAAATCCTTGATTAATTGCATTCGATTGTTTGATGGAAAATCTTTGAACATAATTCAACAATATTATATATATTTTAATAGTTTAAATATTTCGATACTGCTTGGTGATAATCGAATTTTATTGAGATATAAAATATATATAAAGATACTCTTGATCTGGAAATGATTATTCGTAAAAAAAAAAAAGATTCTTGACTAATTGCATTCGATTGTTTGATGGAAAATCTTCGAATTCGATCCTTCGAACATAATGAATTCCGAGCTCGCGAAACAAAAGCTGAATACGTCGAAACGAAGTGTTTTAAATTACAGTCTATTCACGATTTCCACGCGTAATAATTAGTAGCCGTGCAAAGGAGACGAAAAAAAAAAAAAGAAAAAACGTAGCAATTATCACGTCGGTTGAACAATACCCGTGTAATTCTTCTCCACGATTGGAAATCTCGTTACAGCAATAAGAATTTCCAAAGTTCAGAGCATTAATTAATGGCAATATTATGAAGAAGAAAAAAGATCTAAAATCAGATATAACAAGATTAAAACGTCTTGCAACGATCTCTTTAAGATCTCTCATAGATTTATCGCATAGTTTAAAAGTTATTCGTATACAAATTTCGTAAATAATTCTAATTACCTTTTATAATTTCCTCTTTGACTTTTGAAATTAAATTCCCTAATTCCTAACTTCTCTCGATTAAATGGTAAGGCAAGGAGTTAACTGTCTCCAATTTCTCGCTGAAGTTTCCTGGAAGGGACGAAACCAATAACAGACGTGTTGATTTCAATTCGATTGATTTGTTGAAGCAATAGTATTAATAGAAAATAGATGGAGGACGATGTTAACGATACGGCCGAAAATTAAATCGATCCTTCGTGTGTTTGCACCTTGTCGATAATAACACGAAATATATCCGGGAACTGGAAGGAAACTAATTCACAAGCCTCAAGTTCACTCATGGCCGTCCGTGATGGAGTAAATTTGTTGGAGCGCGAAGAATCGTACATGTACGAGATTGCAGTTTCCAACACGAAGCACACCGTCATCGAGAAAAGTGCTTTGGTGAATGGGCTTGTATTCAGAGAGCCATTATTGTGTTGTGTTTTCAGCCGGTGGGTGTAAGCTCAATATTTAACTAATGCTTTCTCCTACCTGTTTTCCTTTTTCTTTCCATTCTCTCGTTGTTGTTATTTCATCCCTCGTTGAATCGTTGGAATCTTGTGAAATATATATTTTTCTTTGTAGTTTCATTTTCTTCCTTTCTTTTTGTTTGCTCTTTTTTTTTTTTTTTTGATATATTCAAATATATATCACTTACTCGCTGCTATCTCTTTTTATTTATTTTTCTTTATATTTATTAAAACTTATTCTTATTTCCTTCGCTTGATTTTTCAGAGAAGAGATTGGCAATTACAAAATTAATAAAAAATTATTAAACTAAATTATTAAATTGCCGCGATAATTTTTGAAAATATATTCATTCGGCAACAATTAGCTTCGATTTCGATCGCTCGTTTAGATTTACTTCTTTTTACATTTGTCTTTATATTTATTTATAAAATTGCTTATTTCGTTCGCTTGATTTTTCAGAGAAGAGATTGGCAATTGCAAAATTAAGAAAAAATTATTAAACTCCATTGCCGCCATAATTTTTAGAAATATATTTCTTCGTATTCATTCGGCAACAATTAGCTCGTTTAAATTTACTTCTTTTTACATTTTTCTTTATATTTATTAAAACTTATTCTTATTTCCTTCGCTTGATTTTTCAGAGAAGAGATTGGCAATTACAAAATTAATAAAAAATTATTAAACTAAATTATTAAATCGCCGCGATAATTTTTGGAAATATATTTCTTTGTATTCATTTGGTAACAATTAGCTCGTTTAAATTTACTTCTTTTTACATTTTTCTTTATATTTATTAAAACTTATTCTTATTTCGTTCGTTTGATTTTTCAGAGAAGAGATTGGCAATTGCAAAATTAAGAAAAAATTATTAAACTAAATTATTAAATATATTTCTTCGTATTCATTCGGCAACAATTAGCTCGTTTAAATTTACTTCTTTTTACATTTGTCTTTATATTTATTTATAAAACTGCTTATTTCGTTCGCTTGATTTTTCAGAGAAGAGAATGGCAATTGCAAAATTAATAAAAAATTATTAAACTAAATTATTAAATCAATCAAATTATTAATTTTTGGAAATATATTTCTTCGTATTCATCCGGCAACAATTAGCTTCGATTTCGATCGCTCGTTTAGATTTAATCACGGTAATTGTCGATGTCTCGAACTTCCTACGAACGATCCTCCACACGAAATCAATGCCGATGGAACAGTATCCTCCCTCGAGTTACGCCCGCATTCGATTTCGATGTTCGGGGGATTGAAGGAGCATCGAAGTTCGTGCTTGCATAAATTATGAGAACGTCTCGATTTCGCGCACTCGTTATCCGCCGTTTAATCATCGCGACTCTCGGATCCAAGAGTTCGATGGAACAAACGACGCGCTCTGGTTGGATTAACGCGGGGTTGGAGATTCATGCGCGGCAACGAGCCACGTGTAACGACACGTTCCGCGTTTAATTACGGGTTTACCGTTAATAAACATAGAAACTGTATGGGATGTCGCGCAACCTGCCTTGTTATATCAATTAGCAACGCTGCAAATGGATGTGTTTGTTCCGGCTTTTATTTCGAGACGATTGGTTTCGGTAACAAAATGATACGGAAGATACTTGGAGAATAATAATATTGGTTGGCGAGATAATTAAGAGAAATGGGAATTCGTTCGTGGTAGAACGATATTGGGAAGGAATAATATCTGTAAATATTCCAAATATAGGGGTAGTATATAATAATTATTGATAATTGTTGTAAATAGAGGAATCTGTGTTGATGAAATCTTTTGTGATTTCGCATCGTTATAATTTACATTGATATTACAATTTATTTTTAAAATAAAATCATAGATAAGTGGAATAAAACATCAGATCAGACAAGTGGAATAATAAATAGTTACGTGGATCAAGACAGTCTTTGGTTAGATAAACAGAGAAAATTTTGGAAATGGCACCTTTTTCTTTTTAATAAATATATCGAATAATAATAAATAACAAAAAAAGCATAACGCGTTTTAATTCGATAAAACAATCAATAATATTAATCCCTAAAGTATCAATAATTGGAATTTCGTTCCGCTTTGTTAATTTATCAGAATCCAATTAACGATGTCCAATTAGTGAGTTAACGTCAATTTTAGGAATTACTAAAGCAATTATTAAATTTGGGAAGTATTTCGAAATGGAATCTTTTTTTTTTTTTTTTTTTTTTTTATCATAAAAAACGTTGGTGAAAATTTTCGGTAAATGTAACGTAAACGTGAACGAAAACGAATCAATGAGGAAATGCGACGTTTCGAGGAGGTGGGTTCGCGTCTGACAGAAAAGTTGGCATTGCACGCTCGCATTCCGTTTCCTACATTACGCTTTCAAGATATTCAATAGGAATTCATAACATATTCAACGTGTAGCTTTCGTAGAAAATGAAAATGAGTCTCTGTCGAAATTTCAAAGGAACTCACTGCTAAAGGGGTGTATTTGCAACGACTGTAAAAATATCTCTCTCCACGGAGATCTTGAAAACTTGGAGCATCCGACGTTACCGTTCCTTTAATATTTCAACGTAAATATAACCAAGAATTTGACATCCTTTCACTGAAAAATGCAATTTTAACTTTCAGTTTGCTACATATCTTCGCACATATTCCTTCAATTTCACTCGTGCCATCCCCCCTCCTCGAATCAATCCCATCAATTTTTAAACAAAACTTTATCCCCATGAATAAACTTTGCTCATTCCGTATTTTCGAACATCAATTTTTCTCTGTCTCTTCAATCGTGTAATCATAGAACATAGATTCACACGCGTATAACTTTCTCACTAATATTATCCACTAACTTCCAAAATTATTTTTTTACAAGTTATTCGTTATTACAAGTCTTCGTTATTAATTAAACGTGATAAGAATAAGATCAAGCAGCAGTCTATTTTTTATTCATACGTATAATTTTCACAAGTCAAAAGGATAATCGTTGTTATCGAGTTTGAGGAAAATTGGAAGAATCAAAAATTTGTTGAAATTTTATTAACAAAGAATGAAGAAAGAAAAGAGAAATAATCGTTCCAAGTTTCTCGAGATCTTTCGTGATCGACGTGAATCGGCGTCGTTTATCTCTCTATTCTCTCGTAGAACGATCAAAATGGTAGGAAAAAAGGAAAGCAACTGGAGGGTAGCAAATGAGGGGACATTAGACTTAATCACGGTTCACGAGGGATGCTACACTATCCGGACACGGTTAGAAAACGAAGGAAAAGTGCCACTTACTTGACTGGGGCTGCACACTGCACCATCGGCAAGACGACAAGGTAGCTCGTGAAGGGCGTGATGGAGCCGTTGGGGATGGCAACAAGGGTCGTTGCAGTCCTCCTCCCATCCGCAATCGCATTCCTCGCCATCTTCCACCACGCCGTTCCCGCAGATGGCGTTTTGGGGCTCTGAAAAATCATCGATTCCCCATTAACTCGACTCGCCATTTCACCGACCATAAACTCCTCCCTTCTTCCTCATTTTTATTTTTAATCGGTATTGCGAAGAAAGCAAACCGGGCTCGAACTTGTTCGCCTCGATACTACTCCATTACTTTGATCGGCTCGAGTTGAAACGAGTGGCCACAAGTGGAGGCAAAGTGGATGGAATAAATGTTGGCTTGATTTGCAGCGAGGTTAATGAAAACCTGGATTTAAACGAAGCTCAACAAGTCGGCTATGCGTAGTGTAATCAATTGCGAATCAAGTCAAGTGATTCGAGAACAGCTCTGTTCTTACAGCTCTGATCGATGTGTCAAGTTCCTCAAATTTTTCGTTGAAAGGGAATTGGGCAAATATGAAACTTTTAAATCGTGAAAATTGTCGAATTCTTCGTGAAACTTTGATCTATTTATAGCTTCATATTAATGAGTGTAGGATTCAATTATGAATTATGAAGATCGGTTTATTTATTTTATTTAAAACAGTTTTGAATGATTTCCCATTCTTCTTGATTTTTTTATTTTTATCTAATAGTTCAAAACGTGTGCTTCGACGATGTCCAACGATAAAAGTGGAAAAGTCAACGAAACAGATTTCAAGATATAACGGTGTCATATTATTTTTCAATCTAAAGTTATCAATTTCCATCCAATTGAAACGGGAATAATTTCTGCTAATAATTTCTCTGAAATGCAGCAACTTCCGTTATTACCATTCGTCGTGGCAACATTTCATTTCATTCTCTTTTTATCTCTCTTCGTTTTCAACTACCTCGTATAACGTGCATCGTATCCATGTTCGATATTCGAACAAACTTTTTCCTGCTAGCTTCACCAACGGTCACAGATATCTTTTTGTTATTAACAATTAACGAGTCGTGTCTGTTTCTTGTTTGCCCGAGTTGTCGCTCGTTTGCGTTCAATGTTCGTTTCCAGAAACGAGTTTTCTACGGATCGTGTAGAGAGTCCGCTATTAAAATTGCAATTGAGTTGCAATTAGACTCTGCCTCGGTCGATATATCGAGTCACCGATACGTTCTATCTTCCTTTCGTTCTCCATTTTTCCGCTCTTCTATAGTATTCTTTTTAAAGATATATTTATTAATAAGAACGAAATGGTATACCCAATTTTTTTTTCTTTTTGGAATCCATTAATGTTCATCGTCTTCAATAATTTCCTTTGGAAACTTTTCGACATTTCTCTGCCGATTGATTCTACGAGACAAAATCATACATTGTAAAGCACTTTTTGATGATAAAATGAGAAGTTTTAAATCATCCTACTTTTTTTTATATTCTTTTTTTCTTTTTTTTTGCTTCGTGTAACTGTGGTCTAAGAAGTTGAAAATTGGATCGATAATTATTAGATCTTATTAATGGAAATATTTCAAATGTCTAATTTTAATGAGAATTTAATAACATTTATGGTTACTTTTGATCTAAAATATATCTCTTCTCGAGCAAATTTTTAATCTCGTTTTCAGAAAATATCTTGTCTCTTTAATTAAAATATTGCTCTCAAATATTAATTAATACGGTCTCCATTCTTTTTTTAAAAAAAAGTGTTTGAAAAGTTTCGTAATAATAACGTCAGAGGAATATAGTAATAAATTTCATATACCGCCACCAATTAAATTGTTCATATTTTTTTTGTTCACATTGTCTTTGCTGTATAATTAGACATTGTTATAAAATGGAAAACTTTTTTCAACCGTTTCCTATTGGCGATCATTTATTTTCCAAAACTTTACTTTGTACCGAATAATTCCCCTAATTAAAATTCAACTTTTAAAATTTTAGAGATCATTAACGAGATGCCCTTAATTCGTTTCAAAAGGCCAAACATTTTTCCTCGAGTAATCGACTATTACATCCAACAGAAAAATGGCGAAAAATAGATCGTTTCCAAGATCTTCCATGTAATGGAAAACTTTATGAAAACTTATTTTAATTTATCCACGCGTCCTAACATTAATATTGAAAATATTACTACAATTGTCACGTCGTTTCTTCTTCTTCGAGAGATAACAATAAACATTTTTCAATACTTCTCAATACATCAATGAAGAGATGCCAATGAAAAAAAAATAAATTATCAGATAATCAGGTAAAATATTTTTTGCAACCAAATATCGTATAAATCATTCGTGTGAATGACTATAAACGTAAAAGCTCGGTCCAGAAAAAGTCGAAGAACTAATTAAAATTCGAAAAGCTTCTTTATTTACCGGCAAAGCACCCCTTAGACGAGCGGGCTTTGGCATTTAAAACTGGATTTATGGAGACCAGGCTGCAAGGGCTGAATCGATTGTTGTTTCGTTTATCCCCGCTAGTGGCTCTTGCGAACATTATAAAATTTCCGTCCTCCCCGCCTGGTGAACACTCGTCTGGATCGTGCTGTGCTCGACAGAAAGAGAAAGATGTTAGAAAAATGCGATAAAATGACGATTACAAATTAAAAAATTTGCATGTAACGTCTGCAAATTTACAAAATTTAATAATTTTTATTGCAAATAATTTGATAAATTTTTTAATACAAATTTATTCATCACGATATTTTGTTTTTATTTTTTTAAATATTTAAATTTTCACGCTTTTTTAATTTTTCCAAAAAATTAAAGATCTCTCTGCACAGAAATTACAAGTACGGAGAAGTGTAGACAAAGATGATCTCAAACATTCTTGGAAATAGTTGAACGTGAAACTTCTTCTCTCGTAACATTGCAGCACCAACTTTTCGAACAATCCAGCGCTTAATTGCCTAGGACATTATTCGCATTCCTTCCTTGAACACCTTTCTTCAGCACGGTGCTGACTCGTTGATTTTTCCAAGAAAGAAATGCAATTTTCTATTTTTTCGTTTACACAAATATATGCAAGAAGTGTTTAAAATTAGAACAAGTTCAGAGTGCGGTAGAATACAATTGGAACAATTTATAATATAAACGATCCTTGTCAATTTTCCTTTTTTTTCTTTTTTAAAAGTTAGAATACAAATTGTTATTATTTGTAATTATTTTGTATTGAAAGAAACTTCTGTTCTTGAAAGTAACATATTTTTACTATATAAAAAAGAAAGAATTTAATCTTTCTTTGAAATTCACGATAATTCCAGATTTTTATAAATCTTGGAAATTTTTTTCGTTAGAAATGAGTATAACGTATTAATTTTCACAAAAAGCAAAAAGAAAGAAAAAATGATAACATGCTTTATTTCATATCAAATCATATGCTTTTTTTCGTGCAGAAAAATGAAACATAATATTTTATTTTCCAAAAATCAATAAAATCTCGTAACTCACGTCGATATTTGTTAAAAAAAATTATATTAAAAAATATGGAGGATCATCATTTAACTATCAAATTTAGAAATTTAAAAAAAAAAAATACTCGTATATCTAACGAAACCTGTTACAATCGAAATTATTTACAAGAATCGACGTTGTTAAGTTTCAATTTCAATCACAATCACAATGTCTCTAAACCATCATTCGATGCACCGTGAAAAAATTGCACAATCCGCATCGAATTTGACAGAACAAAGACTTTCGAACAGAATCCTATTGTACACTTAACGAAGCCACGGGACGATCGAAATTGGACCATCGTTCGTATTACGAATCCCTCTCGAATCACAACAGCGCAAACCCATTATTCAATGCATCAAAAAGATTTCATAATCCACGTGAAACGCGTTGATTATTCGAACAAAGAATTTCAAACGGATTGTATATTTAACGAAAGCCGGCCGGGAATCATGAGCCCTCCCTCCCGAGGATCGAAATTGGACAAGGGTCGTTTACGTTATGAGTCCTCCCTCAATTGCTTGCTCGCTGAAACCAAAAGCCCCTCGAAACTTTTCGAATGTACTACTACTACTACTACTACTACCACTGCTCGCCGACAACATGCAAACCCGACGCAAACCCGCGTTGAACTTACAGGGGATCCGAAGTTGTGACCGATCTCGTGAGCAAGGGTGACGTGAGAAACCGTCGGTGGTACGTGTTTGCCGTAGTTGAGGAGGGTGATTATACCTGTGTTCAGCGATTTCATGCTACCTCTGTAGTGCTGCAAGACGAAATAGCGTTAGTTCCCGGGCTAATTGTCTGAGTATCGTGAATGCGGACCCCGAAACCATGTTATATTCCAGACGGCGCACCGTCGGATTAGTTTTGTTGCTCGATCGAGGGAGAACTTACCCCGTTTTTCTCGCAAACTCCGCCCGCGTTTTTCAGATCGCCGGTCCAAGCCAGGCCCAAAGTTCCCTTCTCGAAGTCACGATACGTGAACATGTACGACAAACAAAACGCGTCGTAGTCCTCCTCTGGAAAAAGTTTTTAGATTTAGCTAAGTTTTAACGGAGGGACGATTTGTTAAAATTTGTTTAAAATTTATTATTGTTTTTACGTGGATGTTTGTTTGCATTCGTGAGAAATTTAAATAAAAAAAAGAAAAGAATAGGTAGAATAAAGGTGCAAAGATTGTATAAAATAATTATTTAGAGATACATAAAATTCATTCCTAAAATAAACTGTAAATGGAAAAAGATTTTGAGTTTGAACAATTCTTCGTATGAACAATTCTATATATTGTTTTTAAAATGTTTTTAAAAACGATAAGATGAAATTCATTACGTTCATTATTTATAAGAATATTATTAACCCATCGAAGATGTTGAAATATTCTGAAACTGTTAAACAATTATTACGAATTTGAGAAATATCGGATAGTAAATTCAAACATTTTCCAGTTCCAATACTATTACGATTTAATAATTACTTTTTACTTTACATATTCCTTATTTACCATGAATCGGTAGCATCGTATTTTATGCATAAAGATATTTCCGCGCAAAGTGGCTAGACACAGTCGACCTTGAAAAAACGTGGAGTATGCGATGAACACGCGGTCGTAAACAACTCTATTCATTAAAATTCATGCATGACGTTCATAGAGTATTCATTGCTCGTTTTATCCCTCCATTCTTGCCCTTCCCTTCTATCTCTATCCTTTCTTCCATTTTTTTTTCTTTCCAAATGTCGTCGAAAAAAATATCCCACGAAGAGAAGAGAGAGACTTCTCTTTTCTCCCTTTTCTTTTCTTTTCTTTTCTTTTCCATCTCGTTTCATATATTCCCGAACAACGATTCCCCAACGGAGGAAAGTTGCCACTGAATAAAAAAGTTGGCCAGAAATTAAATTACCGGACATTCTGGACGCCTGATTTATTATTTTTCCCGGATAACATCTCTCGGCCGATGATTGGCCAACGTCGGCTGGGGATTCAACGCCGCCTGTATTTCTCGCCGCCCTGTCAGAGATCGATCGAAATAGTTGATAGTCGAATTAAAAAACGAAATTAATTAAAAGTCGCTGCGAGGCGACTATTTGCACGCGACGGAATATCGGGTTCTCGACTCGATGCAATCGCGATGCTAGTTTGAATACGACGATGCGGAATTTAGACCCCTAATTGCTTCATGACGGATTAAATGATGAACGAAATTAGTTTGGAATTGAAATTTGATCGTCGTACGTGTTGCGATCGGTAAATAGGATCGGTTTGTTGAAATATAAAAAAATATAAAAGTATCTGTATATTTCTTTTAATTTTTAATTCAACGTAAAAACGTAAAAATAGATTTGGTAGTCGTTTATTATAATTGGAAGATTATCTAGAAAGAATTTAGAATTTGAAAAAATTTGTAAAATATGTAAAAATTTGTAAAATATGTATAAATTTGGTTCAATGAATTTCGATTGGATATGTTCGAATAACAAATACAAAAGTTTCATAATATAAGTTCGAGAATAAAATAATATTTCATTAATTCATTTTCTTGTCCAATTGGAACAATTGATCATATACGTTCGATGAATTTTTAAAATTAATTTTCTCAAAAATTTAAACGATAAAATTCCTTTTTACAATTTCTTTTTATTATCACACGTATTATAGAATAGTTTTTTTATTCATTCCTATCCAATTGAAGATTAATCAGAATCAGATTTCGATCTTTAATCGTATTTCTCTTTTATTATACGCTTCTTTTTTCTTCCTATTCATACCACGAATTACGTCTTACTTCGAATAAAACGAAAAACGACCAAAATCGAATCGAAAAATGCCTTAGATCGGTGACCAAAAAGAAGAGAAAAAAAAAACCCTAGAATCAATATCGAGAGCACGAAGTAGTGACCAAACGTGGAAAATAAAAGCGCAAGGAATCATCAGAAAAACAACCTTTCGTTCTTTGCACAATGCTTTTTGCAATCTGAATTCACGGTGAGCAGGTTTTTGCGGCGGAAGAGAATGGAACACGGGATACGTGTTTGCGGTGTGGCGTATCTCAGGAGGCATATTTGGTTACTAGATGCCCGCGGCAAATACGTCATGGTCGGTTGTGTTTCTCGATTCCTGGGTATATCAGGTACATAGTATACTATTGCGAGTTATTCACCAAGAAATGTTCGTGCGTTTCTATCCCTCGATTTCAATTCATTTTCCACTCGCTTGGATCAAAAAAAAAAATTCGCTCTCTTCTCTCTCCCTCTCTTACGACGAATACTATTCAATCAACGTGGAAATCGATCTTTTTTTTATTTTATATAAATGGACAATACACGTACGAAAGATTTACAGAAGTATGGATCAAATTTTCTCGTATGTAACATAAAAATTTAATTCAAGTTTTCTTTTCCATTTATTTCAAAAAATTAAGGATAATTGCAATCATTATAATAAAAATTTTCGAGACGAAATTTTGAGAAGCTGTGTAAGAAATACAAGATTTTAAGCTTCGAGCTAATTTATTAGTTTCTGAGATATCAAGTGTAAAGAATTTCGATACATGGAATTCTGTCTGCGCGGACATTACCAATGAGATTGTCTTCGCTGTATTTGTCATCAATGAATATTCAGCGTATTGACGTACAGCGAATTCACTGTACGTGTCAACATCATACATCGTCGGTGTGTAGTAGATGCTGTCAATTGTCGAATAGCCGATGACGTAATAGCGATATCGGCTTCAATATCTATACGGTGTCCCATGTAGCTAGCATCTATCTGTTTATATAAACACGTCACGGTGGTCACCAGCCAAAATGTATAACTACGGATGAACCAATATTTACCACATTTAATATCTATTCGTAATGAGTTTGGACGTTTCAACGCGAAACAAGAGGTGATCGAAATAAGAGGGATAAGATAATAATAGATGTCGAACAGTTGATTGATCGTTGTCCCTGATCCTTCATCGATATTGTAATTATGAAATCTCAATTTAAGAAGAAAAATTAAAACAGTTGTGTTATGTTAATTCTTGCAAATAGTGAATAAAGTTTATTCGAAGAAGAAATATGAATTTCGAGGATGAAATCACGCCAGAATCGTGACTGTCCAATCGTACTTACTAATTATCGCGCTAGCTGCAAACATTTCAGCCAAAATTGCGTAATTACGCCAAACAATGTAAATTCAAACGCATTGGATAACGCGTGCACGTATACCACTAGACGTAACTTATATTAGCGTTTTAATATAATCGATAACGTCGATGCTATATTATTATATGTATAATACCTATAAATCAACCCTTCAGGTTATTAACCCAATATTATCCCAACGTTGCATCGGACCAATATTCAAATGTGCGAATAAATTCTGGATAAATACTTTTTTTTTATAAAAGTTGATCGTGACGCAGCTTATTCTCTTATTCAACATTTCGAAATGGTGCTAAATACATTATTCGTGGAACGACGATGAACGAATATTGAACAATTTCAAAACAAGTTCGAAAACTGTTATATATATATATATAAAAATTGATGCTTATTTATCAACTTGTAAGCAATTTAAGTTTTAGATAAGAAATAGAAGATTTACACCATTGTTTCGATGTTAAGCACAAATCGATTTTCAATTTAAATCGGAGGCTATCGTTGCAAATATTCGCAAATAAAAGTAAAATAAATGGAAATAAACTTTGAGAAACTTTCTGCAAAAGAGAGTTAATCATATACAATTCCACACAATTATCAAAATTAATTATCAAAATGATCGAATTAATTGGTTGATGAACACGTGAATGATTTTTTTCGATTCTTCCATTATCCATATCTTACATATCTGTATATATATATATATACATATATAGCATTGCTTATTCAATGAATATGACGATCTTAAACAAAAACTAATTCTACTTCAAAATTACTTGGAGAACAAACTTATCGTAGACAGAGAAATATTCATGGATTCTCAATTCTATAGACAAGCACGAGATAGAGAGGTGGGTTAAGTCGATCCAAAGGCTCGTCGAAATAGTATATCGCAGTATCTCAATGGTCCTAACTTGGGAAATTTCAACCACCATCGATCTGCGACTCGTTACCGCCGTAGATGTGACTTGATAATAATTAATCCCGTCTGTTCCCGGCAAACTTTAACTTGGCGTGGAAACTTTAATACGATACAGTTTCCCGGCTGGCTCTGTCAATCGATGCCGCGCGTCAACCGAACAAGAATTAATTGGCTAGAATGGGAATCCTTTGAAAAAGATTCGTTCGAGTGTATATCGAATAATCGGGATCAAAAACGAATCTCTTGTTCGAGAGTATTAATCAAATCTTGGGATAGAAACTTTCTTGCCACGCTCTTAACGCGGGGAAAAAAACTTGAAGAGGCGAAGAGGGAAAACCGTAGACATCTTTGAGAAGAGTGTAATTGATCGATGAGAAGTCGAGAAATGAGAAAATTAAGTAATTAACCTTAGAAATACACGTTAAAAGGAATATTCACAGAAGCTATGAACTATTAATTTTCGATAAATTATATTTATGATTATAATAAAAAATAAAAAAGGTGCTCCATACATTTATGAATCACTTTCATATTTCATATTTTATATTTAATTGTAAATCCTGTATATATGAATAATTTATTATAAATCTCGGCACCTCGTCTGATTTAATAATTGGATTGGATAATCGTATGATTCCAGTAGAAAAGAAACGAGGTTGCTTCTCTTACATGTAATTTAATCTTCATTGCGTGTTTATTAATTATGATATTAAGTAACGAATCAAGCCGATGGAACACGCGGCGGGATGCTTTAATGGGAGAGGAGTGTAGTTTGCGATGTTTAATGAAGAGCTTTGAAATCTGATGGACGTGAAGATGAACGACACGAAACATTTCATTAAAATTGGAAAATATTTCAACGATGTAACACGACTCATCTGTTATCGATTTCATCGTAAATTTGTCGCAAACAAGCCACTTTAATTAAAGAGGAAATAGCGAAAATAGGGTCAAGAATTTCAACGAAGAAAGTCAAATATATATATATAGAAAATGAGGGGTGGTTGATTTTTTTTTTGTTTTCGTTTCATTCGGTTAAAGAATGCTTTTCTTTGATTAACTTCGTTCCTGGATTTACATATTTCGTTCCGTGTTAACGAGATGAAATACGAGATGCAGTTTTAAAAATTCACGCGAATATGCTTTTTCAATGGAAATCAGAATTAAGAGTTTGAGATGGAAAATATATATATATACACATACAAAATATTTCTACGAAATACGTAAAAAATTTAAGCAGTGATTCTACTAAAAATTAAAATACATGACAATTATTGTGTCAGAAATATCGATTAATGTTTATTTATTACAAGCTATTTAACTTTGTTGGAGCGATAAAAAAAGTATGACACGATAAATCTCAAATTCATAAACCCTCTTCGATCAATTAACATAATTAAACTTCAATCAGATCGATTACGTAAAAATTCCAACTCGCTTCGAGCGAAAGAAAATGAAATAATTTCTAAATTAATTTAAAATTTCCAATATACCAATAGTAACAATGATAATATAAGTGATATTTTTCAAGAAAAAAAGAAACATCTATCGTATAATTTACCTTAACTCGATTAAATTCCTATTAAAATTAGGAAAAATTTGAATCGCTGTAACTCTGAGGATAATTACTTCCGGTCAACGAGTGAACGATCATCAGAAGCGGGGAACTTTGCCCTTTGAAACGCTTTTTCATTTATCTCGATACGACTTTCGGTTCTCGAGATATCGTCGTGTAAAGAAAAGGATAATTTTTGGTCACTTTCTATCTCCATCCTTATCTCTTACTCGCTCGCATCTCGTCTCACTAACCTATCCCAAACAGCAGACAAACGACAGACGCGATTCCTGGAAGGACGTTGCACGCATTTCCAAGAAAAAATGCAGGTCGCTGACCCCATTCGTAATTTCTCTTCGCCGTGTTAAGCGCTATCGAAACTTTGAGCGCTTATATTTCGGCAACCGATTGAGATATCGGGATAAAACAAAAAGGAGATTCAATGGTATAATTTTCTCTATATCCTGATTGGATTTTTAATTCTTCTTCACACTTTTTATGTGAAAAGATAATATTTTATCGGTGATTGCAATAATTTATTTTTTAAATAAATTTTGATACGAAGAATCGTTCTTTTAATTTTTCAACGTCACTGTTAATATTACAATACATACAAAAGAAATATATATTGCATCGAAACAAATTTTAAAATTTCTTTGGATAATAAATGGATGAAATTGTTCGCTTACCGGAGAATAACTCGAGGAATTCTTCTACCCCATAAGTACCGGTGAACCTGTAGCTTGGATCATTTAAGGCATCTTCACCATGGACTTTCACCCTTTTTATCATGAAGCTAATATTGTCCGGTTGACCATCCTGATTGAAATCTACGAGGACAAGAAAAAAAAAAAAAAAAGAAAAGAAATGTTAAAAATCCATTAAACATTTAATCGAAAAATCGAAAATCGAGAATTCGAATTCCATCGTTTCTCGAAATTAAACTCGGTATCGTACTAGATGATAATATTACTAGGAAATTCGTAGAAATTCGAGAGGAAATACTCATCGAGGTAACCGATAGCTGATAACGAAAATCACAGGGGCTCCAGACAAGTAATTTTCCCTCGGTGATCAGTGTATTCCGGCTCGGTCGTCGCGTGGTGGAGGGCATTTAATCAAACACCACCTCCGCGGGAATACCAATCGAAACTGGAAAAACGATCACGTGACACGCGATCACGATTCCTTTCCACCGTTGAATCCTATGATTTTTCAACTGTAAAACGATCTTACTCTATCTATATATATATATATACTCTATAGCGACAGATGGGTCTCTTTTGACTCCACGTTATTTGCGAATTAATTGGAACGTTGTTAAAAGTTGCCAAAGGTAACAAGGGACGGGAGTAATTTTATCCGTTGAAAAATTAATTCTTCGCTCAGATGAATTTAATCTTTAATCGATGGTATTACGAAAGGGCAAAATAATCCGACCTTGGTATTAAAAGCGGTGACATTTAGAAATAGCCGCAAGAGATTTTCCTGCATAAGGAGGTTACATAAATATTCTCAACAAATATTTCGCGTATAACGTCCACGTGCCGTTGGTAATCAACGTAAAATCCATTCTATCCAAGTTTGATGTTGCATTAATTTGCTCTGTTTCTATATTGTCCATAACGTAATAGTTCAATTACAGGTAAAAGCTTCTCGAAAGTAAATAATGCAAATACGTGGGTGAGAGAGGTATTCGAGATAAATAAATTGAAACATTTATGTTTTTGAACGAAGTTATAATATATGGAGAATCGTGGGATAGATTAATCTTTGCAAAACTTGCAAAAATTGCGACAATAAGATCGAAGAAGACGCGTCCTTTCATTCAAGATATTAAGAAGATATTAAGAAATAATAATAATAAAAATTGTAATACGTGAAACATAACTTAATCGAGACGTGCTTGCTTCATCTTCCAATCTCTACTCTGACTAACTCTGCAATCTTGATTTCATTGCAAACGTTTATCATTTATCATCTCGCTTCTGATAAGGTTCAACGATTCAAAACGAAGAGCATGCAATGTTCCAAGCACATTGGACACGCTTTCACGAACGATAAATATTTTATTCATCGTAAAATATTATTAACTGTTTTTCTCCATCCGTATTTATTTTTTAAGACTTAAAGCGAATTTACCTTATCTTACCACACGTTTCTGATATTAAATCCAATTTAATATAAATAATAAAAATTTTAAATATAAATTAAAAATTAATTTTATTATTTATATTATTCATATTAAATAATAAAGATTAAAAATTATTAGTATAAATTTTTTTTTTTTATATATTAATTTTTTATTTTATAAAATTTTTAAATATTATAATTATTTATATAATTAGATTTATTAATATAATTTTAATTATATATATATATCAGCGAATTTTTCAGCAAATCGGTAAAATAATCGCTAAAATACCGGAGATGAATATTCCGCACGCATGAGATTAAAAAGAGAAAAAAAGGGGTAGGAAAGGAGGGGTAGGAAAACGTCTGTGCTTATTATTGAATAGGTAAAAGGGCATCGTCACGTGAGACTCGTGTTACAAAGTTCGCGTTCCGATGTCGTAAAAAATTACTTGGCAAACAAATAAAGGGGTAACGCGTCGCGTGACAGCTGTCTCGGATATCCCGCTCGGAAATAAAGTTTTTTTTTTACGTGAGTCCGTGGATAAGGATCGTAAACGCGCCAACGTTCTGGCCAACGTTCTCAAACGTTCCACGTGTAATGACTGACATTGGAACACTTCCACCTTTGCCCGATGATATCACCGTCACGATACCGCTTATCGCTTCACTTTTTCTCAATCGCGATAAAAGGAGGGGTGGTGGTTCACGTTGCGTTTACACGGTGAGTTCATTGGTCGCGACAAAATCGACGAATATCGATATGGAAATAATAAATAAAAATTCGGTCTATCGAATTTTTAATCGGTGCAAGTATTGTTAAGCTCTTTTCGTCTTTTTTCTTTTATGGGTTTGAATTATTATTGTTTCTTCTTGTTTCTCGCTTCTTGCTCGAATCTATATCCAATTATTATTCATAGAATTTTAATTCGGATTTTTTATTATAACTCTTATTAAAAATATCGTAATTTTCGAATCTTGGAAATGTTATGACAATAGTGCAAGATAATTAATCCTTTGCGCTCCAGGCCTTTTTGCACCAACAACTTCAGACGATTTCTTGCACCCGAATTTCTAATTTAAAATGATTTCTCGTACAAATTAACGTATAAAATTTTTATATTCTAATATTTTATGTATATTGGAAAGAAAATTTGTCGAATATTAAAATCTATATCGTTGTTTTGTGTGATTAGGGAGATGCATCCTCGGTTTGTCTTTTATCTTTCTTATTTCATTGATTCATTCATTCTATATTCTTCTTATACTTCTTATACCATTTTCATTCTTTCTTTCTATCGTCAATTTCTTAACGAATAAAAATAATTTCGTTATTTAATAAACGAAAAATCAAACTCATCTTCGAACTAATTTCATTGCTTATAAAACTAAAAATCTTTGACAATAATATTTCTATTACCACTGACTGTCAAACACAGACCAAATGTAGCTAGATCACGGTCTAATTTGAGATAAAAAAATCATTCGATAGTATTATTTATAAAACGCTTTATAAAATTACACGTAAAGAGCTTAGGAATCTATTCCTGAAGCGATATTTTAAAAAAAGTGAGAATCACTATTGGAGCGCAAAGCGTTAAAGATATAGGATCAAATTTTCCTCTTTTTCCTCTCTTCAAAAAAACAATTACCTAAACTTGCATAATTCCACTCACTCATCCATTAAGAAGAAGAATTTAAAATCAATATTATCCATTACACCAAAACTTTTCTTCATCCCCGTCACATCTCGCGACGACGACGAGCCGCGCGCAAAATGGCGTAAAATCAGCGGCAAACTAGGGATGATGCGAGGGGGGAGATAAGAGAGGGCGCAATCCTTAATCGGCGCAATTCCGCAATTCTCCCGTCGGACAAGAGCGTTTAGCTGGGCGGCCGAGTTGTACGTATCGCGATGGGAAGAGAGTTAATGCCGTCTAATCCGGAGACAAAGGGAGCCACGTTTCGGGCTGGCGTTTCCAAGGGGAGGGGGTGGTCGATCGGTCATCCGAAATGCTCGCGTGTAGAGATGGCCGATAATCGGGGCGACCATCGTTCCGGAAGATCGACGCATCCTAGCTCCCTCCTCCCTCCCCTCCCCTCCCTCTGTGTATACACGTACATTCTGACGTGGAACGAGAGGGAATAAGAGGTAAGAGGATGTTGTGTAAAGGGAACACGAGCGGCTTTATCCGCGGATCGCGGATAGAGAAAGAGATAGAAAGAGAATAGGGAAAGAGATAGGGAATTGTAAGTAATGCGGTGGGCCGGTTGCCGCGCGTAGGCGCGGTCACGCTACGTTAAACAGGGCTCGGTCACGAGACACAAATATTTGCTCGTTGTTACGGCAGCAGGTGGTGCAACGTTTAAAACCTTTCTGCTGCCCCCCACTCTTGCTTAATATTCGCGAGCTTCGCCGAACGAGATTTTTCAGGAAATCTTTCTCCTCTGATTTGCGCCCATTCGAGCCCCCATCCCCATATCTGTTCAACGTTCGCTCGTCGTTCGAACTGATTGTTTCTCGGTTGGATTTGTAGACGTAATTCTATTAAACGGTATAATTTCGGGGGATGGCTTTGGGCAAAGGGAGGGGGGGATTATAATCAAAGGGAAATCGAATCGCGCGCGAGATAAACGAACCAAGGGAGATGATACTCTTTTCTTTTTCTTCTTCTTCTGGAAGGAGTTTATTTTCTTTTTTTTTTTTTTTCTTTTCAGATCGAAAAGAAAGATCTCGAAAGGAAAGGGGGAAAGGTGGTTTATCTCTCGATCGGAAGAGTACAATGGAGGCAATTTTTAGTCGGCGACGATTCCTTTCTTGGATATCCTTTCCCCGTTATTCCCCATCGTTGATAACCATCGTTTAAAGTTTACGCATTAGGTGTGCGAGAGGGGCGCGATAAAGTTGCAGTGAATCAATCGGTCAACGTCAGACACAGAAACTGACATTAATCGGTCGTAGCGCAGAAAGGAACCGCAGTAAGGCTAAGGAACATTCATTTCCTCCGATCGCCGCTGGCGGAAAGTTAGTTTAACTCGAAGGTCCGGGAAAGTTTTAATTGGTTTGCGAAGTTATTACAGCGGAATGAGACAGAAGACGCGCACTTGTTAGTCGAGGAGGAAAACGTTGCCGATTTCTGGGCCGGCAAAGAATTTTCATTGCCGTTCCAACGCTTTTGCTATCTATCGTCAATACATACGATGTATTATACCGTTCGTCGATCACGGTGATATAAAGTGTGAAAAAATTATTGATTTTTATATTGTATTTATTCTTCAACGAAGTAATATAATTTCAATTCGATTGACAATCGTCGTGATGGCAAATGTTTGATTATCATATTTATCATATTATTGGCATTTTTTTTACAAATAATTTTGATCATAATGCTCATAACATAATATATAACGTATATCGAGGTAATAGATAATAATCTGGATTATAACGTGAATGACGCTTATAATTGAATTAATATCATTGGAAATTGCACAAATCTCAAAGTAACGTGTCATCACGGTTGTGCAGCTGTTTAATTGGAAATTATAATGGAACGAATCAATGATCGTTTTTGGCATAAAATTATATTAGCCAAGTTGTCATTTGGTTTTTATTTTCTGTTTGTTTAAACTCATTCAATATCATGATTTCTTTTTTTTTTTTTTTATATTACCAGTAAATTTTATTGTCAACTGGAATTACTCGATATCTTGAAATTCAATGGAGATTTATACAATATCTAAGAAGGCAGTTGAAAGAAATATTTAAAAATTGGAAATTACATTAACGATACTTTATAGTAGAAAAAAAAATAGAATGCTGGTGTGTTTGATAATTTTTAAAAAAATTCCATGCAATTAAATTTCACGATTTACATAAAATGTACTGTAAAAAAAAAAAAAAAGTTTTAAATTTCTTGATCGATATCGATAAAAACGTCACATCGTGCGGCATCGCGTGTCGGCGAACGATTGAGTCGCCTTTCCAATTGCCTGTGACTTATCAGCCACGAGATATAATTCCATTTCCATGGAATATACCGATTTCCAGATACGACGAATTCATGCAAACAGGAAACATTTACTTAAAAATATTGTTATTACGTATTTTCCAACACACCTGTATACCTATATATAGAGTTGACACGTTGCACGTGGCGAGTCATCACCTCGATGCTGGCCTCTTCCGACTTGTAATGATTGAAGAACGTGTGATCCGCTTGTAGATATAACATACAAGTGGTCTTCTTTGGATCCACCGAGGTTCGTTTGCGAAGCACTCTCGAATATCGCTCCCTGTACAATCTGATTACAAACGAGTGAAAAAAGAAAAAAAGTTTCAGTATTTACCTCTTGATATTCTGTATAATTGACAATACTGTACAATTTCAATAAGTTCGATTTTACGCGGATTTTTTTGACAAATTTTTTTTTTTTTAATTATATTCCGGTCGATGGAACTGGCGAGCTATCCCAGAAATTGTTGTATTTCCACAGATAAAAAATTATAGGATCCCTTTCAATTTTATCGCGGTATCCAATCGCTCTTTTTTTTTCAAAAAAAAAAAAAAAAAAAAAAAAATACGGTTACTCTGTTATTATTTCGCAATTTTTGCGTACAGTGTTTTAAATACAATTTTAAAACATTTGAAAAAAGGTCAATAACAGTATCGTCGATTCAAAACCAGTTACCATTCGTAAAAAAAAAAAAAAAATGATTTAAATGCGTAGAAAGTGATAGTTTGTATTTCGTTTTTTTTTTTATTTTTTACAAAAGAACATCGATATCTATGAAAAAAAATTAAATTCGTAATATATATATATATATATATATCTTTATCCAAATCCGTTTCAAAGGTGAAATTTCCAGATTCTGCTAGGATGGTAGATATTCGAACGCTTGGGCGGCCTGCGAAAAAGAGCACGAGATTTTGACGCGGCGACAGTCGATTTGCCCGATACGTGATCCGCACTCGAACAACAAATCAAAACGCCCTATGAAAAGAGCCGGTCCCGGAAACGTTCGGATAAGGATAACTCGGTCGCGACAACGTTAAATTGGATCGGTCGATAATGCTGTTTGCTCTCGATTTTTTGACATTTTCATCGTGGTACGCGCCCCCCTCCCTTCTATTCGGGAGTTAGAGCTACGTTCTTTAAATGGAAGCGCAAGCATTCTTGGTAAACACCAAGAATCGATAAGGCGATAAATTGCGCTTCTCTTCTTCTCTTCCGTCCGGCCGAGAAAGTCTCTTGACTTGGTCTCTCCTCCTCCTCCTCCTCCTCCTCTACCACCTGCTAGAATATTTCATCGACGCGCGGGGTTCACTTAGGGGACTGGTCAAATGGAAGCGTCGAAAAGAAAGAAGAGAAAAAGAGAGATATAGATAGATAGAGGGATGGTACAGGTGATCGAGAACGAACGACCGTGTAAAACTTTTTATTTTTTTCGAGGTTCCAGCAGCTTTTCGTGTAAAATGGGAAAAGGGTGGAGGAAGGGGGATTTCAATTAGTTGCACGAAGACATTTCACCCCTCCCTCTCTTCCCTCCCTGCGCGCCTCTTCTTTTTTTTTTTTTTTTTCCTTTTTTCGTAACTTTTCGCGTTGACGTGAGCGAAACGAGGCAGCTCGTGGTCGGACAGGTGAAACGACGTCACCGCGAAAGTGTTTCGAAATTGCTGTTCGAATTTCGGGATACGAAATTATATTTCGTCTTTGAAAATATGATAAATACACGACAATAAATGGGATCAATTCGGGATCGATTGTTATATCGTGACTTTAATTGTTTAATCCTTTCCCTTCTCCCGTGATCAAACATGAAATGTTTTTAAAGAGGAAGAATTTTCACAATTTTGAAAGTACACTTATAAAGTACTTTTTATTGAATTTCTTTGTCGCAAAAATTAATCACTCTTCTTTAATTAATAAATCTTATTCCTTTCATTTGCTTACCGTTCGTACCCAGTTACGAATTTCTACGTATATCCACTCACGTTATTCATTCCATTTAAACAATTCTCCAAACAACAACTTAATAATAGCAGAAATTAATCGCGTGACACAGAATAAATTGCTCGCGAATGATATATTGTATAACACACGAGCGAATACAAGCGGATACCTCCGTTTGTAAAAATTAAAAGGGATGATATTTCCGTAAGATGGATTTCTCGTGGAAAGAGATGGAATAGAAAAAGATTACCTGTCGAGCACCTCTAAGTTATGCGAGCTCGCCATCGGGTCCTTCTTCCTAACGTCTTTCGGATACAAGCCGGGCTTGGCACGGGACTTCCCCTCGTATTGATAAAGCGGGCGCGCCGTGCCCCCGAGATATCCACTCCACGTCCCGTTCGTCCTGCAAACGATTTTTCGCCGGTAAGCGTTCGGAAAACTACACAGAGAGGCGGGCGAATCCCTCACGGTGAACTGATCAACTCCGTTGGCCCGGGATAAACGAGAGAAATCGTCGGGGATGCGGCGGGGAGATAAGGGTGACATATGTCGAGTAATACGTAACAGGGTTGAAGCCAATTTACTTGGAGGATCGTTTCCAACGGGACGAATCTCGCGCCATCTCCAAGACAAGCGGGAAGGGGGGTTGGGTCTTGGAGAATCGTGATGGAATTCCCCTTTAAACGCTCGTTCCTTTCTTTCTCGAAGTTTATTCTTTGCTTTAATCATCTCTGTGGTAATCGTATGGAAAGAGGATTGATTTCGTTCTTGATGTCGTTCCCTAATAATGTCAATAATATTCGTATGAATTTTAATGAATCTTTAAAGTTAAATTCGAATTCGAGAGGAAAGGATGAAATATTTCTTTCAGCAATATACATATATGCATTGTTGCGGCAATGATATATCAGAAAAAAATCATTACTTCTTCTTAACGTAATCAATTCAACGTCGTTTTTGCGTTATGCCGTCGTAACTATGCGATACGTTTTATACGTTTTATGTACTGTTGCAGTTTTCGCGTTTTATAGCTTTCTTTCTTTTTTTTTTCGCTGTACACCTTTAATTCCTCGCGTAGCACGTGATGTGATTTCGAAAACTGAACTAAACGTTTAAGTATTTTAGAGCTTGCGTTCTAACGTGGTGGTTTATAGAAAGATTCCTATTGCGTTTCTTGATTGGAATAATAAAAACGAGTTTCGATACTCAATCGTACGCAACTTATTCCGTTGTTAAGCTCGAAAATTTTGGAGCAGAATTAAACTAAGGAGATCCTTCGAAATTCACGTGAAAATTTTATTAAATCGTTTCAAAAATTAAGAAAACTAAAGCTGAAGCTATTATATAGAAAATAAATAATTAAAATAATTAAAATAGTCTTACATTATTCATTGACGGCGTACGTTATAATTAATTGAGAATCAGCTCAAAATCCTTCCGCTCATCCTGTTCAGAAATGCATTTTCTTTGCATGAGTATGATATCGGAATATTGAAACCTGGATTTAAATTTTTTGAATTTTTACAATAATCGATCATTCAAACGCAGGATAATATATTTAAATTGACCAATCTATCAACGATTAATTTAACATTTATAATATATTTCTCTAATATATTTGATAATTTTTTAATCTTTAATTGCTTCATCACGAAGCATAAGTCAATGAGATGATCTAAAGATTTGCTTCTAAATCCAAATTGGATTTTTGTTGCAATTAGTTCCACTATATATGATAAATAATTCAAGAATTCGGATCATCTGAACGATGAAAGCGTTATTTTGCATTTTATTTTGGCACATTATGAGCATTAACCATTGCCAATGCAAAAATCGGATATGTGATCTTCCCTGCCTTCAAAGTGGCACCTGAAATTCTATTAAATCGGTCGGCGGATACCGGGCTATCGATCAATATTAAATTTGTATCTGGAATATTGAACGTGTTAGATCATACGAGAAGATATTATACATCCAAATTGCATGCTAAGCTGTCTCAAACGTGATACGAGGTTAAATTTGGCTGAGAAGATTGAATTCGATTTATTTCTTATCTCCCCTTTTATTTCAAGAAATATAATCAAACAACGAAGTTACATAAATGAAACGATAGACTATTCAATAAGTTTGTCGTTTATTCGATGAGGTTTCAAAGGAGATGATAAAAAATCAAATTTACAAATTAATGGAGGACGAGCAGAGATAAAGATACTATTCATCCCAACCAAAAGATTCGTCGTGTATCCATCTTTGTTGTAAAAATTCTCACTGCTTTCTCTTCAAAAATATTAAAAAAAAATATATATATAATGTTATCCCAATTTTATATAAAACTTATGATACTATATTTTATATAAAACTTTTATAAAACTTCTGACTTTAAACATACCACTAATTCCCTACGATCTATTTGATATCTATTTAATATCCTTGAAAATGGCATCTTTTAATAAGTTCAGCAGCGCACATATTTGAGAACGTAATGCAATGTAAACTTTGTTTCAAGCGTGTAACGTCCTCGTAAAGAAACGCGGCCGGTTTTATTACCACGGCCTAACGTACTTTGTTCGTAATTAACGCGTCGTTTTAGTCGTCCCCCGTGAGAGAAAATTATACTTTACGCGTTGTAACATCGCGTGAAACGTATTTAGTTCACGGGAAGTTGAAGATGTGTTTACCTTAATTCATTTAACGTGTTCTCTCGCAACAGCTCGCTCGCGCACGGATATCCGTTGCGGCGGGGAATGTTCACGTCCACGGAACGGTACGCGATCGTATGGTGATGCATGGCGTCTGTCGTGTCATTATCCTTGCCGTCTTGCCGATGGCACACGGGGGGAGCGTATCTGCTGGTTGGCTCGATGTAGATCTCGCCCGATGCTGTCGAGATCGTTCCATCGAAGAGACCTTCCTCCGTCACCATCCCGTGTACGGACGAGTTCTCGTCGTCTGGAAGATAGAACGAATCGAGTTAGTTTAATTTAATCTGCCATTTCACATGGAAAAACTCGAGATTGAAAATTTGAATTTATGAAGCAAATGGTGAGAGCGGAATATCATTCGGATTAATTGGGACTGATTGGAAGGTGGTTGCCGGATAAATGAGGCATATAATTGTATGCGCTTGCACAATTTGTAATTCCAGGAATTACACATTAGTTTAATTACTTATTAAATACAAGAGCACCACTGCTGTAACGTATACTAAAATATACTAAAATATATGTATATACACTTTGTGTAATTAACTCTTTGAGGCAGAGAATCTTGATATTGATCGTTGGAGATAAATTAATTACATCGATTTTTCGATTTTCAAAATATCTTACTCTTTTTAATCTCAAAGCGATGTATATGTATGTATATATACACTTTGTGTAATTAATTCTTTGAAACATAGAATCTTAGGTTGATATTGATCGTTGGAGATAAATTAATTAGTTACATCGATTTTTCGATTTTCAAAATATCTTACTCTTTTTAATCTCAAAGCGATATGTATATGTATGTATATATACACTTTGTGTAATTAATTCTTTGAGACACAGAATCTTAGGTTGATATTGATCGTTGAAGATAAATTAATTACATCGATTTTTCGATTTTCAAAATATTTTACTTTTTTTAATCTCAAAGCGATATGTATATGTATGCATATATATGTATATATATATACTTTGTGTAATTAATTCTTTGAGGCAGAGAATTTTGATATTGATCGTTGGAGATAAATTAATTAGTTACATCGATTTTTCGATTTTCAAAATATCTTACTCTTTTTAATCTCAAAGCGATATGTATATGTATGTATATATACACTTTGTGTAATTAATTCTTTGAGGCAGAGAATTTTGATATTGGAGATAAATTAATTAGTTACATCGATTTTTCGATTTTCAAAATATCTTACTCTTTTTAATCTCAAAGCGATTGCTATATATCGTTGCACTGGCTCCAAAGAGATGATGGGGAATAACGACGATGCAATACCGGTTTCGATAATCGACGACCTGTCGTATATTTACCATATACCATTTCACATTCCACACTCTATTTTTTCTCGTTTTTGCTCGTTTTACTTTTCTCTCTCTCTCTCTCTCTTTTTTTTTGTTAGAATTTTTCTATATTCTTTCTATCTCTCAGCTGAAAACGCAGAGAGGAAAAGGAAATCTAATTTTTCGATTCTGGAATTCACAGAGAAAAGCAAAAATATGATCAGCGTCGATATCTCGGGGTGAGTGTGCGCCAGAATGCTTCCACACTCACTTTGACCATCTTTTTCCACCCCCAAACGTATCTACTATTGCTCGTAAATCGTGAGATTTACGCGTGCAAGAACCGCGTACCGAGGAATCGGCGTTTATATCACGTTTGCCCGTTCGGACGGCAAGCGTGAATTTATATTCGCTTGATTCGTTGCATCATCATGGTGTATCGGATCTGTGATGCATCGATGTGGCCACGCGTGATTCTCTCGTTTCCTTTTTGCATACAGTATCTCCACTTTCCTTCCTTTGTCTCTTCTTTCTTTTCTCTGTTTTTATAAAAAAATTTACGTAGAAGAAGATTCTTCTTGTTCAACGAAACTAGATAAAGAAATGGTGGTGGAAAAAAATTGTTTGGTCGTCCAAAAACGAATAAATGAAAAGTGTTGATTGATCCTCGTATATTGTGATGTAGAATATCCAATACTTAATTGTAGTTTAATATCGAGATTAAATTATTCATTATTTGATATTTACTTGATATTTAGGGATGATTATCGTACGTGACAGAGAGAATACATTTTCGATACATTTTCACATTCTTTTTCCACGGATTCATAGATTGTAATTTTCATTTTAAAATCTTGTTTCAAAATCTTTTGTTATTCGGGATTAATGAACAATTTTAAAAAAAGGAAGACTAGAAATTCTTGTTCGTCGATGTTTCCTCGTTAATGCGATTTCTTATTTATTTCTAATTTGATGAAAGTAAAAATTCTTTTTCTAATAAGTTGATTATAACTGTTGTGTAAAATATTGATTTTACCATTTGCAACTATTCGCAATATTTCATGTCTATTTAACTGTTTGCATAGTTGCACTCGTTATTATTCTCGCAGAGAGAATCTGTGCATCGCGTGGATGAAATTGTTGGCCGATTTTCCGTAACATATCTCGCGAGTGTTGCGTATTTATTCAAGCAGATGATTGAATTTTTAATGCACTGAAGATCCTTCAGGGATGAACAATTAATTAATTCGAGTCGATATAAAATCGACTTTTATTGTTAATTTTCTATTGTTAATTAATTTTGTTTTGTATCTACGTAACAGATTCGGCCGAATATTCGCCACTTTCCATCGATTGATTCCAAGTTAATTAATGATCGTTCTAACAAGGTTAATAACAATATCGTTTGTAATAATTGATACGATTTCATTGCATAATACGTTTAACAAGCTGTTTTATTGTAATTTTGATATTTATTATGCAACAAGAGAAATTGCATCATTATTACCAAGACTCTATGGATTAAATATTTGTTTTCGTGTGAAAATGATGAAGTTGTGAAAATCATTTTATCGTAGTAATATTGTGGATTGATCGAAACGACTATGAGTTGTTTTTCTTTCAGAAAATTTTTTTTATTTTTTATATGTTTCAATGGGAATACACAATTGTTAAAACATGTTTGGAAGCAATCATATTTTTGCAAATAGTAAATAATTATCAAAGTAACAATAAATATTTATTTACATTGACAATTATTTTAGAAAAAAAAATTCCATTTATTTAATATTTTTATACAATTTTAATATAAATTCAATGTTTTAATTCAATGTTTTATTATTCAACAATCTTTGGTTGTAAACGAATGATGGTTTTATCTGAAATTTCTTACTACTCCCAAACTTTTGAATGTGTGTAAACGAAAAATTCTTTCACGTAGTTTTCTTCTGGATTTCTACGAGATTTTTCTATTTTGTCGTTGCTGCTGTGAGAATTACAGATGGACATACCAAGCCAAGAGACGAGAAAAGAATCGTTGAAATACAGCAAAATAATAGTTTTATTAATCAGTAAGAAAATTATATAAAATTCTTCTTTCATTTCCAATTGGTTTAAAAATTAAATCCATTTTTCTGAAACAATTAATAAATTCCAAATCTGAATTTTTTCTCTCTCTCTCATCTGTTGAAAATATTATTCTTATCCATGAATTCTATACTCTTTCGTTTTAACAAGTGATAATTTCAAAACAGCATTTCACCCTTTTTTTTTCATTTCTATCTCAATAATATTTTTAACCCATGTAAGCTTTATAATACACGAATTGTAATAATCAATTTACAACGAAACATACACACAAATTGAACGCAACGTTTCGTTCGAGTACAATTAATTAATTTTCCTAATTTCGTTCAATCTTATTACGTAAAAAAAAAAAAAAAAAAACTATTACACGCAATATTATTTGAAACATTAAATATTTCCACTTAGAAATTTTCAAAGCTGGGGAATAATTTAATTGAATTTCACGACGCGGTCGCGTCAAAAGAGACAATGTTATTAAATATCGATCCAATTATAAATATTTTAATAATGACGGGCTATATTCTCAGGAATTTAATTTGATACCGTATTGGCTTCCCGAAAAGACAGTCGCTCGTGACACGTTTCACGATATTAGAATTTGTTAGTTACGTTACAGCGCGCCTAATCCATGAATTTCCAAAGGATTCTCCATTCAAGTTTTCACCCCAAGCTTCCTAAATTGCCATACATTGTATGTTTTCTCCATCGTTCATTTTGCTTCAATATTTGTTAGAATAGAAAGTTTTTGGCTGACTGAAATATATATATACGAAATTCGATGAAAGAATAACTGCAATTTTTTTTTTTTTTTTTTTTTCATATAAAACGTGCTTTTGAATACTCGATGCTATTTACACGCGAAATCTTTCACACGAAACTCATTCGTTCATAAAATGAATTTTTAGAAATTCTTTTCCATATTCAAACGTATTTTAATTTTTTTGTCGTAGAAAATTTTCTTTTCGTAACTTATCGTTAAACTGTTTCCAAATTTTCATTCCCACGGTTAAATATATATATAGAGCTCAATTATCGCCACACAACACGCACATATCCTATTACATTCATCCTATTAAATACAGCGCGAATAGGCGTGATTAAATACGAGAAATTCTCCCTCCCTTCCGCCAAGTCTTTCTCCCTTCGATCTTTCTCACGTTTCGAAGCGCGAAAATGAGGCGAGGTCGAGGGCGGGATCGAATCGATATAAATTTTTCACGGGCGCCGGACCGCGGGCGGACGGATTTGCGAGCCGCAGGATTCCCCCGGAAAAGTCGATCGCGTTAGTTATCGAAGTGGAAAATAATGTCATGAATAATGGAGGGACGTGGCGCGGTGTGTACTCGGTGGACGGGTGCAGTCGCATTGAGGGGTAGCGAGCGTGCAAAAGGCGGAAGGGAGCAAAGGGAATGGGGAAGTAACTGCGCGCACAAAGTGCTCGGGCTGCTAGCTAATTCGCACACGCTCGGTTCCATCCCTCTCTCCAACGTCGACTCGTCTTCTTTTCGACGAAATAGAAAAATCTCCATCCTATGACGAGCATCCCTTTCGAATCTCGATCGAACGGATCTTTGTTTGATCGACAAAAATCAGATACATAATCGAAGGTGATTTTTTTTTTTTTTTTTTTTTTTCATGGAAAATCAAAGTGTGAAATCAGATTCCGATTTTTGTTTGTTTTTTATTTGATTGGAGATGGGATTTGAAATTTTGAATTGGTTTTAATGGTATATTCGATTGTATTAGGTAATGTTTTATGAAAAATTGTACATTGATAATTTGTTTGTATATTTGGCATTCCATTGGTTGTTTAAACTTGGCGATGAATTACACGTTAATAAGAAAGTAACAAGTAACGATGATTGTAAG